GGGCTCCCTGCTCAGTGGGGAGCCTGCTTCTCACTCTCCCTGATGCTCTCTCTCTCTGTCAAATAAATAAATAAAATCTTTAAAAAAAAAAAAGATTAAAAAACATTAAAAAAAAAAGTGCAAAGTGGGCCTAAAAATCTGCATGTTTACAGTTCTGCAGTGAAGCTGATGCAGTGTTCCTGGGACACTTTCTAAGAGACACTAGCACATCCCTTGTGGTTTGCTTCCATATTTCTCCTTCTTAAGATGAGTCTATGTATACTTTTTAGTGGAATTTGTACAAATTGAGAACCGCTGGTGGCTTCATCAGCCCTGTTAGGGTGCCCTGGGGAACATGGATAAGGTGAGATAAGATAAGGGAGCCTAGCTCATCCCAGAAGAGCCCCACCCAAGTGGCCAAACAGGCTGTCATGGTTTATAATCAGCAGCCCGCTTTCCCTGCATTTCTGCTTAAGGAAGCTTGTGAGTCTGGGCTGAATGCCAACTGGGTCAGGCTTCAGGAGTCCTCCAGGGTGGAAACCTCCCCCACTTCCCTCCGGGCCTGCAGGAGCGGATGACGGAGCTGGGACAGGGAGCCCTAGGACACATGGCCCGCAGACAGGGAGGTGCCCACGGCGAGGACTCACGGCTTGGTCCGCGGATCTTGATGGGCTTACTGCTGGTCATGGACTGGGAGCATGTCTGACACACACATTCCTTCCCGCTGAAGGTCACCTTGTCTCCAATGGGGAAAGGCTTCCTACAAGGGAGATGAAAGAGAAATGCAACACCTCTTCTTCACCATGTCTGTTGGTGAGCTGACTGCAGATGTGTTCAAAGCTCATACACACAGCCTGCCTTCTATTATGCCAGGTAAATTCAAGTGCTGTTCACGGTGCCAGGCTGACCAAACCACTCAGTTGGGGGCCGCGACTGGAACTGGAGCCCCACTTGGGCCATTTATATGATTTTAACCCAGGGCACACCATGACACTTAGTGAAGCTTGCATTTCTCATCTGTAAATGAATTGGTTAATAATTCCTCCTAGAGTTGCCCCTTCTTTCTGGAAAGACTTTTTCCATCCCAACCTCACCTATCCCCATGTATCTGGAAGAACTCATTCAACTCCTAAATTCACCAAAATGTCTTCCTTTCACTATCCAGGACATTTAGAAATCCACAAATAACCTCTTCCTCTCCTCTGTGTTTGTGCAGTTTGAGTTTCCGAGTTCCGAGGTCTCAAACTGGTCCATGTCCTGCCTCCCTAAACAAAGATAAACTGTACATCGAATCCCTGGCACTGTTGAGCCCATTGTTCAGCTGCTCTCGTGCATGAAGTCAGGGACAGCCTGTTATACAGACTCTGAGTGCCCCTGACATAGGCTTCCAGTGGCTCCGCTGCCCTTGTATTAGCAACGTGGGACACGGCAGGGGGTGCTGGCTTGAGCTGGGGGAGCTGTGTTCTCATCGAGGCCCAGGCACTGACTTGTGGTAAAGGACACAGCATGACCTTGGGGAAGCACTGCGTCTATATGAGGCTTGACAGAAGCTTCACTTTAAACCATATGGACCCTACTGTGGGTCTGGGATTCTGCGACCCAGGGCCCAGGTTTTAAGAGACGGATGAATGAATGAATTCTACTCGGTGGTTTTATTTTCTTGTACACTGTGTCATTAGTCTCAGCAGGAACCCTAACTGGTAACTAACAGGTAGTTATTTTATGGGGAGAATAATTAATCTATAAATTCCTTTCCTAATTAAAAAAGGCATACATTTAGTCCAAACCATGTTTCTATGTATGACTTAATCAGGGCAGTCCATTAAATTTTAATGTATTTGTGGGCAAGGCTGACGTCTCCTTTATTTTTTTCATCTCCTTAATGTGGTGCTTGGCATACAGTGGACCCTTCATGTACGTCTGCTAAATTAACAAGGAACCAGGATGCAGGGCATGAGGGAGAGGGAAGGGTGAGCTTTCCATTGCCTACCAGGTTGCCTGAGAGGCTAGATGGTTATCATATGATAATGACAAGAATAGCAAAAGCAGACACAATTATGTCCTAGTCACTGAGCTATGGTCTTTGCAAACACCATCTCATTTATCTTCATGAAAACCCAACAACGTTGGGATGGTTTTGATGTCCATTTTACTGATGAAGAAGCTGAGGCTTACAGAGAGGGGATCACTTGCCAGGGTCATGGAGAAAGGCTACAAACAGATATCTCTACAGTACATGAGGCTGAGGGGGTGGGAGCTGGCCCAGATGCCTGGTTTCCAAAATGGGTTCAGGGAACTCAGTAGTTCCTCTGAGCACTTCTGATGGGAAATGGGAGGCTGAGGGTGGCGGCTCAGGTCCTCACTCCGTCTTGATCACCAGACAAACTAGTGTTTTACATGAGATCATATTTGACAGACAGGGTTCAGCTGCTAAAAGGTTTGAAAAGCACTGGCCTGTCAGATCGTTCCACCCACGAGAGCCTAGAAATCCAAGTGTTCAGTGTACAGCCCTGTGAGCCCCCACACCGCCAAAGGCCTCAGGCCAGAGGGGCCCGGCCTCTGCTGGCCACCTGCCCACCTGCACAAGCTGCACACGAAGCACTTGGGGTGGTAGGTGCGGCCCAGGGCAGAGATGACCTCGCCGGTGATGAAGTCCCTGCAGCTGTCGCAGCGGGTGCCGTAGAGCTGCTGGTAGTCCTGGGTGCAGATGTACTCCTGGTTCTTGAAGAAGAAGCCCGACTGGGCCAGGCCACAGCCACACACTGCGGGGAACAAGGAGAGAATCAAGGGCAGGCTGAGTCCAGGGAAGGTGGGCAAGCACGAGGTTCTCACGGGGGACAAGGCTGACGTCTGACTTGGTCACAAGTGGCCCGAAAATGGTGGCACATCGGACCTCGTGGGGCTAGTGCTCCTTTTTTTTTTTAAGATTTTATTTATTTATTTATTTGAGAGAGAGAGAGAGAGAAACAGCATGAGAGGGGAGAGGGTCAGAGGGAGAAGCAGGCTCCCCGCCGAGCCGGGAGCC